CTGGAAGGAAGGTAAAGGTGTAATATATAGCTTTAAGTACAATAAGAAGGGATGTGGCTTGGCGAACAAAATGAGGAGATCTTTAGAACTCCCATATTTCACTGCTCCCATTCCCCAGGTTTGGCTTACTTTTATTATATCATATCATTATAACACTTTTCCAAAATCTAAAGTACTGCAAATCTATACGTCAGAGGATTATTTGGGGATTTCTGCTGTAGATTTTATTTTAAAGGTAAATTTTAATTGTAAATTTTATGTAGAATTTACTAACCTCACTGATGTCAATGTTAAAAAGAAAAGGCCTCTGACATCTTTTAATACTTACAGTGTAGTAGTATTATGTCGATCATTAGGTCTACACACCAGATGCTTATTAGAGATTTAAATGGCTTGGAAAAATGTAAATTTTCATACATTGACTTGCAAAGACATTTTTGACGTTATCGAAAATTAGAAAAATTGTCAAATTTCTAAAAAAAAGCCCCAAGTTTGAAGAATATCAAACGATTTAGCACAGGAACATATATAAAGAGGATATTCAATGTTTTGCTGTTAGATTCCTGAGTGGGACAGGATTTTCTGATATTCTCACGAGCGCGAACCTCGAGTGAAAATATCAGAAAATCCCGCCTCACGTGTGAAATAACTCAATATCCAAATTCAAACAATGGAATTTTTTGTTTACATTATTTTTTTGGTTTTTCGTTTTGTCCCTAACGCCTTTTATAGTTGTCTTTTCGTAACAAAATAAATTTCAAAACATTTTACAGGAACTTTGGCATTTTTAGCCAGTGTCTTGGTGCTTTATTCACCCTTGCTATTTATAGGAATATTTTCACTTAACGTGAAGGTAATGATCTCGAGTTTTCCCGCGAATTTGTTTCTGTGAAACTAACACTGACTTTTGTTAATTTCACAGTGATAATAACAGGTCTGTGAAAATGTCAATTTCATTCAAAAGATAAAGTCAATTCAGAGTTTTTAACTTTTAAAATTTACTGATGTAATAAACTGCATGAGTTTATATATCAGAATAGGTTCTAAGTGCTCAAATGTGCTCATTTATTTTCTTACTGATTGAAGGGTAGAATGTATAAACTATAGTTTTCAATTTTCCAATTTTCTCAGTGTATTATGATTTATCAGCACTGACATCATGGATAATTTGAACTATTGAATTATACACTGAGATCTACTTCAAATTAGTTTAATCACTCCCCTTTTCCACGTCTATTTTTTTTTTTTTAAAAAGAAGATTTTATTTATGCATATGTCCTTTTTTATACGATTTTAAGGGAAACACTTTTTCTTCTGCATTTCACTTTTAAAAATAATAAAGTTCTTTACTCTCAATGAATGTTATTCAATAAACATGCTAAAGACAATATTCACATTTAGATTATTCATGTCAATGTGTGCAAGATTATATTTACCATTAACAGAATAAAAGGCTCTCTAATGCACTCCAAACTACGTTACCTATAGAGATTCGTCGTTGAAGAGCTTCGCTCCTCAGCTTTTGAGCAGATTTTTGTCTGGACTTAAAGGAGGCTGGGGGGGTCAACAAATTAACCATCAGATATAACTTATATTTTTAGATATGATATCTTAAGCTGTCAACTATCATTTGGCAAAGAAAAAATTCATACATATTAGTTTTAAAATTTGATCATTTTTGTATATCTTTATATGGAGCTCTTCTTCTAAAGGAGATCAATATAGTCTAAAAATGGCCACGACCACCCAGCCCTCTTAATTTCAAAAATTCTGCATAATATGTTAGTTCTTACAATAAATATGGATTCTACAATGCCAAATATACTATATTCAATAAAAACCTTAATATTAAATTTTTTTTCTCTTTCGAAGTATTTACAGTACTGTTAGTCTGGATTCCTTTCTCCAAATTATTTATTTAATTAATGTCATGAATTTTATCAAATATAGCAAATATATTGTGAAAGTCCAGAAAAAAAAAATAGTCTCACTATCTAAAAATTAACACTACGGGGGCCATTCAGTAAGTAATGCAACATACAGTTTATCATAATAAATGTAGATGTATTTAATTTTATTTCTTCACAGGTGAAAAATTCTATTCTATTTAAGAACTAATCACAGAAAACCCCATGCTTTTTCCTATTTTTGTCACAAAGGAATTCACTTTTAAAGTAAGCATGGTCACTGCACTAAGCTAAAAACTGTTGTTTAAAAATGATCTCTGCCAGGAAGACGAAAATGAGGGCGTGTATGAAAATTGTGCCTCAATAAAAGTAGAAAGGTACAATTAAAAGATCGCAGTCAAACTGGTCGATCGAAATCTGTAGGGGCACCAAAAATGGATGGTGAGCAACATGATATCTGAAAATGCCAAATTTCCACTGAAAGACTTTGTTAAAACACGAAACATTTCATCGTCATAACTGTTTATAGAGTTCTGACAAATGAAATAAATCGAACAATAGTTCTATCAGATGGGTGCGTTATTTCCTTACAAATACCTAAGAGAAAACACACGTTAAATATACCAATGCTCTATTTAAAAATAAACATTTTTACAAAAAAAAAGAAGATTTGATAAACTTGAGTAATAGACAACGAAACATTGTTGTACTTTTTATAGCCGAAAAGGAAGATCAAGAATAAAATGTGGAGTCAGAGAAAGCTGTTGTCCTATCATTGCAAAGAGGAGCAAGGGTTCCAAATATGCTTTATCATTTTTCTTTTTATTCAAAAGGTCCAGTAACACATGTACATACAGCCAAAGGAAGGGCTATTAATGGTAACTTTTATGTTAAAATTTCACTCAGGAAAGTTTAGCAGAATTCCTGCAAAGCAAGCCAAAATACAGGTCTCCAGGATATTTTTTTCTGCACTTGAAACGCTGCTGCAAATAAGCATAGAGAAATGAATAAAATTTTGAAGAAAGGAAAATTTACAGAGCTTGAGATCAACCATTTTCGCTAGATCTCAGCATTGTAAGATCTTTTTTTCTTCCAAAAACACATGAAAGCAATCAAAGGAAGATTTTACAATTTCAGGTATATCATGGAAAGTGCTAGCGCTATTCATTAGTGTCTTTAGGGCATTCCTTAAGATGAGTATGCTGAGGTTTTCTGGTCATGGTTACAAACACTTTATAGACATGAGTAAATGTTAAAAGGGAAAGCTCTGAGGGATTGAAAGTATTAATATTTATTGAACGACCCATTTTAGTATACGTATATCTAAAAATTACATCACAAACCCCACTTTTAATTTTCTTTACTGAAAATATAAAAGATAATTTCAACCATTCTTCTAAAATTCAGCCAAATCTGAATACTTTAATATGATTGTACTGCTTGCTTAAGGTCAAGATCTAGTAATTGGGAGTTGAACTATGTTCAATCTCCCTTGTTTAGTGCACTTTCTGTGCGCAGTAATTTGTATTGATTATATAGTGGCCGTCAGTGGGGCTTCTGTGTCGGCTAATTTACTCCCGCGATTTTCAATACAACCTTGCATGAACATCCGCCATAAAGTAGTCCATGTCATTTTTCTGAATTAATCTATACGGATAGTAAGCCTACATTAAATTATGCCCCTCAGTGGAAAGTATGCTGCCTTTTAAACTCTGTACATCCTTAAAGTCATATATGGCGTATTTTTTAATTAGTTCAGACGAACTAAAATCAAAAAGATCTTTCTATCTGTTTTAGGCCTATTATTTTATGTAAAGATAGGACTTTCCTGTAAATTCCACAATTTAAATCAATCACGTTTCAAAGATATTAGAAATTTAAAACAATAAACAATTTATTTACTGACTCCGCATTTAATTAACAGACACAGTTTAAAATCAATTTAACTATGGAAACATGTGGTTATTCAAGTTCAAAATCGGTGAAAATTTTTGAACGTAAATAACTTATATCATGTTTATCTACACTCAATCTCGTATTTTTATTATTTTTTTTTTAGCTCAGATACGCCATATATAGCTTTAATTGACATGTAAAATACAAATTATATGTCATTTCACTTAATTTTAATATTACATTTTTGATCAAATCAACATTGATTTATACAGAACCAAAAAAGATTGAAAATGGTCGTAACTGACCTCATTTGCAGCACAGGGACACCTATAAACACCGAGAGGGAAATTAACAACTGTGCGACACAATGGCGCGAAATATTTGACTATGGCGCGAAACCTCTTTATTGTCTGAGGTGTAGTAAAAATTAGTTCACAAACATTATTTTCATATTTTTGTAACGTTAGCCATTAAAATTTGAAATCAAATTTAAATGTATGTGTACAGGAAACAAAACTTCATAATATTGCAAGGCATTGTTAATCATATTGATTAACTCTATGTTGTGTGGATTAAAAATGTTGATTAACTCCATGTTGTGTGGATTAAAGGACCCCTCAGAGTGTTCAACTCCGGATCCCATGAGTACTTTCAGCACTTTGATTTCACTGAGTTTTCCTGCAAATTAAGCCCGGATACACCTTATTTTACTTAGGTATAGTTATAAACCATATTCAAGGAATTCATTTCTGTAGGCACATTTCATTTACTAGATCTTGACCTTAATTTTTAATGCCAGAAAAATGACATTTTTGAGTGCAAAAAGGTCAATAATTCACTGTGCGACTTTTTCATTGTCACAAATTATAATGTGTCTTTTCAAGGCTAAAATAAGACTGTATTTTTGTCTCATGATTTATTTGGATTAAAAAAAAACCACTGGCTGGAAAACTTCGAAAAAATGATAATTATTTGTTAGACGTAATTGCAGTGCAAAAAGGTCATATCAAATGCTCCGTAGTGCCAAAAGAAGCGCACTGACCCACATTATTTTGTTTTGAGTTTTTGAATACGCTATGTGTGTAGAGTCTCAAAATATACTTCATAAAAATTCTTAGTACTTTGATAGTCTCCTTAAATGATATACAAAACCCCGAGTTACCTCCTCTTGGACTGGCTATATTTCCCGCCACGCATTGCGAGTCTATGAACAACACGTGAAATCCAAAATGGCTGATCAGAATGAAGAAGACACGACTCCGGCGGCAGATATTGTCGTTACTAAGTATAAAATGGCTGGAGATATGGTCAACGGTGAGATAATTACTAATTACTTAAGTTTAGTGATTTTTTTCTAATAAGGCTGCGGATGGTGTCTTTTTAATACGACACATTCGCTTGAGAAAGCGAACTTTTTGCCATGCTGATTGACACACGTGTGATTGCACAACAAAGTGTTAAAACTTCCAGGATATTTCTGATAATAAAAGGAAATAATTTATATGTTCTTATAAAGAACTGCATGCATCATGTCATCTTGATTTAAAGAACGTGCTCCAGTTGATCTAGTTTTTTTCTCTACCATATGTTTATAACAACCCCCCCTCCCCCTCAACAAAATCACGATACAATATAAATACTACCAATATCCAATTGTTCAATAATTGTGATCCAAGATGTTTAATGTCATTGCATACCCTTTAAATTTAACAATTTGCATGAAAATATAGGCCTAAAACACAGATGATTTAGGACAATTCTTAGTTTAACGTTTGAATTGGTCTTTGTCGTAATTATAATCATGTGCTAATTATCAGACATGACCAGTTTATCAGTACTGATTGATGGGTAACATCATTTTATTTTGAAGGCATCATGAAAGAAGTGATTGCGAAATGTGTAGCTGGTGAAAAGATAAACAATATCTGTGAGTTTAGCGACAGGAGACTACAAGAAGAAACAAGCAAAGTGTTTAAGAAGGACAAAGAAATGAAGAAAGGTATGAACCTGATGAACAGAAAATCTTCAGAAAGTGTCAAAAACCTGCTTCTTGGACAAAACATATTTAATTGGATAGGTCTAAAGAAATAAAGTATGTGTGTTTCCAGTAACCTGACTAACCCTAATTTTACCCTCAAACCCTATTACTTTTTTTTTCCAAATCAAGATTTTGAACCGTACTTTTGTTCATTAGTACAGTTTTCTCATAGTGCAGTCAATAAAATGCATGCCTCAGACACTGTAAAAATGTGTCTGTCTAATTAAAGTGTCAATTGTTTTGTTGTGTATGTTTATTCATATATGTGTATGCATTTATGATGAAAAAACAGTGTATTGAATAATTAATTGATGTTTTCAAAATAAAAAGTAAAGGAAAAAAAGTTATTGTCTACCTACCTACCTTAATTTTTTTTGGCATGTTATAGGAAGCATGGGTTCTAGACAACATTTCTAAGCTGTACATGTTGTTTGTGGACAAGTTAAGAGAAAAGTTAACTTATTGATCTGTGTCAAATTGAAAGTTTTTTCATTGTCACTGTCTTACAGCATATGTAAAATTGGGAAAGGGTTAGAGCAAGCTTGTAAAAAAGAAAATTATAGATATATTTAATTGGAGTTTGTACATGACATGTATGAAAGTAAAGGTTGGGCAAATAACTTGACTGTAAAGATGTGAGGCTCTGTTTCAATATTTTTGGAACTGCCATTGTGATGATTGTGATTTTATTTCAGGCATTGCCTTCCCAACATGTGTGTCAGTCAACAACTGTATATGTCATTTCTCTCCCCTTAAGAGTGATCCAGATAAAGAACTATCTGATGGAGATGTTGTGAAGATGTAAGTAAAAAAAAATTCTGTGTCTTGGTTTATGCTTATTTACATTTAGAAGGTGTCTAATCTTTGAGTATTGGTATAATTTACAGACAGAAAGAATAAAAGTTTTATAGAAAAGAAAACGAAAACAAATTAGACTCTTTCACCATAAAACACTGCACAAATTTAATGCTATTAGTATTATACCATTTCAATTTGTTCTAGGCCAGTGAAAAAATTTCTTTCTTTTGGTGATATCTTGACTTAATACTGTCCTTTTTTCAAGAAAACCAATATTGATTTTTTTTTTTAAAGAGATGCTGAGAATAAATATACAGTTAAACTTTGGTATCTCAAACACTGATATCTTGAATACCATGGATATGTCGAAGTGATTTGGAAGTCACAACCACTTATTCTTTAAGTTTTTTACCCTTGATATCTCAAATTCATGGATATCTTGAAGTTTTTGCCTGGCTTCATCGAGTTCAAGATAACGGGGTTTGATGGTATATGCTTTTTATGATTGGGGTTTTTACTTTCAACTCTATTCATTGACTTTTTATTCAAGTTTTTAAGAAGTTGATTCATAACCTGAAGGATTACAGTATGATTTTGATGCTACGGTACAGGATTGATTTCTATACTATGACAGTGTTATTTTTCATTGACAGTGACTTGGGAGCTCAGATTGATGGATACATTGCTGTAATCGCTCACACACTTGTTGTTGGTGCATCAAAGGTTGGTGTCTCTCTGAAATCGGAATAGCTTAAAAAAAAGTTACAAAGTTAGCAGTCATTACTTAAGAAGTTAGAAAATTTTCAGTCTTTTGGGGCTCTAGTAAGTGCCCAAATCAACTTTGTCAATCTTTTTACCTTGATCTTTGATCAGTTGATACCATACCTCTTTATAATGAAATAAATTACCTCTGTACTATCAAATAAAAGTACCACCACCTTACTTTGGATTTTTTGTCATAGACATGGTCATATATAGAAAGGGCATGCTAAATGGCCCTTGCATTTTATGAAAATAATGTACATATAATTTTATTATATTAAATTTTTGGCTTTCACTGAACCACGTATTCATCATGTCTTTAAAAAAAAAGTCAACTTTACTGGAATTGTTTAAAAGTTATCTTAATAGTTGTTATTATCTCAAGAGCATTTTTTCTACTATAGGAAAATAAAGTTAAGGGGAGGAAAGCAGATGTCATCATGGCTGCACATTTAGCTTCAGAAGCTGCCCTCCGGATAGTCAAACCAGGCAATGAGGTCGGAGATGGCTTCTATGTTTTCCAAGTTTCAATTTGAAAAGACAACAGTGACAGAATCCATTGTAAATCTCGTGACAAATAATTATGTTTCCATGTCCTGAAGATATATGATAAGGAAGGATTATTATTATTGATGTGTTTTTCTGTATTCAGTGTACTTCTACTTTGGTTAGAATGCTTAAGTTAACAGTTTAGAGATTGCTGATAAAGTTGATCTATGACAGATAATCTAACAGTGTCATCGTCTTGTAGAATAATGTGGTGACTGATGCCGTACAGAAAGTTGCTGAATCATTTAAATGTAAACCCATTGAAGGTGAGAAAACAATAAGTTACACCTGCCATTATGTGGTGTGTGTAGGCACAGCGTTTTGGTAGTGATATTTTGATCTATATCTTTCTAGGAATGCTTTCACATCTGTTAAAAAAGCATGTTATTGATGGGGAAAAGGCAATAATTCAGAATCCCTCAGAAGCCCAAAGGTAAGTGGTATCTAGGGATGCGCGATTTTATTGGGATATCGGTATATGATGATTTTTTATTGCGTTATACGTATCGTGATACGGAGACTAAAATACCGGTACTTGGTACATAATTAAAAATTCCAGAAATTATTCATTTATTTTTTCGAACTATTAAATAAAAATTACAGGAAGTCTAAAAAAAGTTTGAAAAAGTTAAACTATGGCATCCAAACATGCTTTATATTATATAAATAAAAATGAGAAAAGTGAAGTTATATGTTTACAGCGTATTTGTAAGAAAAATTATAGAAATTCATTAGAAATTGTAGTAAAAATTCTGTGTAAAATTTATACATATATATTATCGTGATATTTTGGAGAAAAAATCGTGATATATCACAATACGAAATTTTTGGCGATACCCATCCCTAGTGATATCAGTTAAAAGAAAAAGAAATGTACCCATTTAGCTTTGATATTTAGCTCAACTGATTAGACTATTTATAAAAAAATTATCTGTTTGCCCGACTAGAAGTGACCTGACTTGAAACTTTTATAAACATCTATAAACTGTTTTTATTCATTTTGAATTTTCTCATTCCATCAGCAACTATTGTAATTTTAATAATACTTTCAGTTTTAATAAAATTTGCAAATTAAGTATTGATGTAGAAAATTCCCCAACCCGACCCAAATTTTTTTTTTATCCTGAGTCAGGTTAAACGAAAAACAATTTTTGAAAACTGGTCTTGATGATTGCATATTTATTACTGTTAAATTTTGTATGATTTCATTTATTTATTCTTGCTAAATGAATAAAATTGATCAAGATCCATGATTTCATATGCATGTATAATATCAATTTTAAATTCAGAAAACAGTTTAGTCATTGTTATTAAAAATAAATAATATAATACTTGAACCTGCCTACATGTGAATGAATAAAACTTTATTGTCATCATATGATCATGGTCATGTTAAAAGTTGATAAATAAATTTTAGGAAAGAACATGAAAAGTGTGAGTTTGAGACATATGAAGTGTATGGAGTCGATGTTTTAATCAGCACAGGTGAAGGCAAGGTGAGATAAAATGCACCAATATCATATAGTTACAGCAGCTGTTTGACACAAGATTAAAGCTATTTTGTAGTGTGTAAGAGAGTAGATGATAAATTTTGAAACAATTTTTTTTGAAAACATTTTTAATTTTAAAGATAACAAAACACATCATACAAAATAAATTAAACAACAAATTTGGAAGTAAAAGGAAACTGGTTGTTTTTAGCTCACCTGAGCTGAAAGCTCAAGTGAGCTTTTCTGATCACCCGTTGTCCGTCCGTCCGTCCGTCTGTAAACTTTTCACATTTTCGACTTCTTCTCAAGAACCACTGGGCCAATTTTAACCAAACTTGGTACAAAGCATCCTTGGGTAAAGGGGAAGTTAAATTGTAAAAATGAAGGGCCAAGTCCCGTTCAAAGGGGAGATAATCAAGAAAATACAAAAATTGGGTGGGGTCATTAAAAAATCTTCTTCTCAAGAACCACTGGGCCAGAAAGGCTGAAACTTACGTGGAAGCATCCTTGGGTAGTGTAGATTCTAAATTGTTCAAATCATGACCCCCGGGGGTAGGGCGGGGCCACAATAGGGAATCCAAGTTTTACATAGAAATATGTAGTAAAAATCTTTAAAAATCTTCTTCTCAAGAACCACTAGGCCAGAGAAGCTGAAACTTATATGGAAGCATCCTTGGGTAGTGTAGATTCTAAATTGTTCAAATCATGACCCCCAGGGGTTAGGGCGGGGCCACAATAAGGAATCCAAGTTTTACATAGGAATTTAATATGTAGTAAAAATCTTTAAAAATCTTCTTCTCAAGAACCACTTGGCCAGAGAAGCTGAAACTTATGTGGAAGCATCCTGGGGTAGTGTAGATTCTAAATTGTTCAAATCATGACCCCTGGGGGTAGGGCGGGGCCACAATAAGGAATCCAAGTTTTACATAGAAATATGTAGTAAAAATCTTTAAAAATCTTCTTCTCAAGAACCACTTGGCCAGAAAGGCTGAAACTTATGTGGAAGCATCCTTGGGTAGTGTAGATTCTAAGTTGTTCAAATCATGACCCCCGGGGGTAGGGTGGGGCCACAATAAGGAATCCAAGTTTTACATAGAAATATGTAGTAAAAATCTTTAAAAATCTTCTTCTCAAGAACCACTTGGCCAGAAAGGCTGAAACTTATGTGGAAGCATCCTTGGGTAGTGTAGATTCTAAGTTGTTCAAATCATGACCCCCGGGGGTAGGGTGGGGCCACAATAAGGAATCCAAGTTTTACATTGAAATATGTAGTAAAAATCTTCTTCTCAAGAACCACTTGGCCAGAAAAGCTGAAACTAATGTGGATACATTCTTGGGTAGTGTAGATTCTAATTAGAATATATAAATTGTTCAAATCATGACCCTCGGGGGTAGGGGGGGACCACAATAAGTACTATGAGGGGGGGGGGGGGGAGAGAAATCAGGTGAAAAACAGCAAGGCCAAAGTTACTCAGGTGAGCGCTGTGGCCCATGGGCCTCTTGTTTCAGTTGTTTTAGTTTGATTGACACCATTATATCTTTGTATACAGGGTATTTTTAGCTATTTTAACTTGATTGACAGCATTATATCTTTGTACACAGGGTAGGGAACAGGAGACGAGGACTACAGTGTATAAAAAGAAAGACATTATCTATCAACTGAAAATGAAGGCCTCACGACGTAAGTCTTGGCTTTACTTTCTACAACTCTCTGTACAATGTACATGTTTGAAATGTGATTGCTGTAATTAATTCCGATAGAAATGAAATACAGTAAAGCATGCGATTGCCAGGGAAGAAAAATTTGATTTGATATAAACATAATTTGTTATAACTGAATAGTTAATAATATGTTTTAACTCACAGGGAATGAAAATCACTCCGCTGTAAAGTGAATTCATATACATACGTTTGCTATTACTGTGTTTTGCTAAACATATTTTATACATTGAGAATTCTGTTTGCATAATCGAGGAATTATTTTACTTAGAGACTTTTCAATTTTGTTTGCAGCATCTCAATATAGGAGAGTTAACAAAAGTCATAAATTTACATTTAAATGAATGACAAGTGACACAGGAATTAGCTTTCACAAAGCAGAGGAAAATGTACTTTTATAAACTATAAATACAAATTGTCAATATTGCAGAGTTCTTGAGTGAAGTAGACAAGAGATTTGGACTGATGCCTTTTTCTCTACGTTTATGTGAGGATGAGAAGAAGGCCAAAATGGGGGTCGTGGAGTGTGTAAAACATGAACTGATGCAACCGTTCTCCGTCCTCTATGAAAGAGAAGGTAAGGTTTCCCCATCATACAGGAGAAAAATTAAATGGGGCTTGTGGAATTTGTAAAACATGAACTGATGTAACCGTTCTCTGTCCACTAAAAGAGAAGGTTCTCTTTATCATACAATAAAAATGACAAATGGAGTCTGTAAAACATGAACTGATCAACTGCTCTGTTCTCTACGAAAGAGACCTTAAGGTTCTCTTTATCATGCAATATAAATAATAATGGTGCCAGGCATTTGGTATGATATTATATACAGATGCCAGAATGAATATGTATATATACATGTATGTTAAAATTGGATTTAATTTTGGATAAATTTGTGGCACAGTATATACATGTAATAGCGAGATTTACTGAACTTGATGGAGTTTGTGGCTCAGTTGTAACTATGAGATTGTTTGTTTTTCAGGCGAGTTTGTGGCTCAGTTCAAATTTACAGTCATTCTGATGCCAAATGGACCTTTAAGAATAACAGGACTACCATTTGATGAAGAATTATATGAATCAGAATACCAGGTAGAGGATGAGGAAATTAAGGTCAGTGTTTCTTTGGGGTGTTAAACAAAAAAATTGATTATTTGTTTTAATCATACCTGTATGAAGCAGTCACCTGCAGGAACCATTAAAAGTGACCTTCATACAGAGGTTACCACTGAATAGAGTGTCATTTTTTCCACGGAAATTCTATTCCAACTCATGTTGGTTCTGTGTTTTACAATACTTCATTATACAGTATTGGACAAATATATGTATCATCATGCAGTGTTTAAAACTTTGATACTGAAATCTCATCGGTGGTATACATAACAACTGAAACTTAGAAACAAGACACTTGGGTATTAGAATATACAAGCCTAAACCCAGTATCCGGGGTGAGATTTCTTTATGAGCTAGCTCTTCCCTAGATGGGTAAAACTGTCTCTTCATTAGTGTGCTTTATCTGTAAATAGATAAAGCATTTTGAGGAAGCTGACATTCTTATTTCTTAACACTGATCATGTCTCAAATAGACATCAAAAGCACTGCATATCTAGGTATTGTAATGTGCTTTTACAGTGTAGTTCTTACAGTAATATGTAATCTTAATGTGCCACGAAAAACTGTCATAATGAGGGGTTATTTATATACATGTTTGTCTATTATTAATGAAATAAACTGACTTTTATCATAATTCAACAGGCCCTGCTTTCTCAGTCTGCGTCCAGGAAGGCAGCCAAAAAGAAGAAGAAGAAAGCAGGAAAATCTATGGCAGAATCAGCAGAGAATGCAGAAGATTAAAGTTAAAGTCTAAACAAATTTTATTGATGGTGCATGGAGGACAGACTCCAAAATGTCGAAAATTAAAATATATAGAAAAGGACAACTATACAACTGAAATTTCGCTATCAGCGATACTTTAAAGTGGCTTGAAGAGAGACAATTTTTTTGTTTTTAAAGAACATAAAAAACCTGAGTTTCAGATGTTGAGAAACACGGTCATTTTCATCATAGTCCTGTCCAGTATAGACGCTAGTCCAGACATCTGCAGAATCCACTTAAACAACTTCTTATCTTAAATGAGAGTCCTTGTCTCTATAAAAAAGTGGTTGTTTTCCAAACACCATAATCAAAAGTGCTGTAATAAGTATTTATGAAATTCTTTAAATGTGATCTATTTTTGGGGCTAGTTTTCAATTTATTTAATAAATGATTTAAAATATATGTATTTATTATACATTTGTAGAATGAAATGTTATTTGAATTTGTAAGCATTTACCACAGATACAGTGATCATGTATGTTTCTTAAATTATTACGACGTGTAGTTTGTAAGATCTGGAATTTGTAAATCTGCTGAATAAATTGATATTCTGCTGTCGTGTACATAGTTTCTGCATCAGTAATCAGAAATTAAAATGTAGATTTCTTGTACTGCAAGGATTCAGAATAATTTAGGTTAGAGAAGCATGAAAATAGCCAATTTATTGCAAAAACTAATTGCCAAGCTGAACAGGCCATGATAAATATACATGTAGTGTAGCCAGAAGGACAATGGAGGTCTGCCCTTCTTCCGTACAGCTGATACATTGAACATGACACCAAATATTAATTTATTGCCACATAATTGTATGTTGATCTTCCTGGATAAATATTTCAAAATAATACCCACCACTTCTGTGGTTGTGTAGTTGTCTGGTTGGCATAAAATTTGGTACATTTATGTATACAATGTAAAAAAAAAAAATCAGTGAAATGGTTTTTATGCACTGAATATAGCTGGGGAATATAATGGTTGTCTGTTTTCCATTCTTCTGTATGCTGTCCACCACACTCAGTGTAAAGGAAACTGTTAGATATTTTATCCAAATTCATTCACTGGTGAGAGGAATTTGACTTTATTATTTTCTGACTTTGACCTTTCTTATGACCTTGTCCTCACTATTCATATATAGGTCAGTTTCCAAGAAATTTCAAGATATTTTCATCAAAACTGGTACACTGATGCCTATTGGCGAGAACTATTGAACTGTAACAATTCTGTGATTTTGACCTTTCCTTTGCCTTTGACCTAACCATTCCTCAATTTGCATTAATTTTAGTTTCAAGTAAACTGTTCAAAATATTTTCTGAATACATAAAACCTTAGAAACTGATACAGATTGATGAGAGCTATTCAATTCTCTCACAATGACCTTCTTTATGACCTTGAATTTATCTTATTTTTAGCTCACCTCAATGAAGTTGGGGGAACTTATGTAATACCCTCGGCATCGGCGTACCAGGTTAAAGTTTTTGGAGCAGTTTTCTTTTCAAGTACTTTTATGCCCTATACATGTATTAATCAGAGATGCATGGAGGATGCTTATACATGTAGTGTATTTCATTGTACCAGTCAAGGTTTCAGATGCTGCAATTTCAGCTAAAGAATGACCAGGTCAATGTTTTTGGAGCAGGTCTCATTTGCAAGTAACTATAGGCCCTATATTGACCAAACTTGCATGGATGATGCATCAAGGGACTATCACTTTCAAACTTGCTTCAGATGCTGGATTTGACTTACATTTTCTGGATGAGTGACTAGTTTAAAGTTTTTAGACAAGTCCATTCGCAAGTAACTGCAAGCCCTATCAGACCAAAATTGCATAAATGTTGCATCTAGGGATGCACATTACTAGATTATTAGCTTAGTGTGGGACTTTGCCTTACTTAAAGACAACATTCATTGAGGTGAGCTCTGTAATCTCTGATTACCTATGTTTTCATTTGGTCATGGTTCATCTGATGAGTATATCCATAAAGAATTACTTCATAAACTTCCATACATAGATAAATGTCTATGAAAGCACTTCAACCATACCTACTTCGAGATCATGTATAAATGTTGTGTATGAGAGAATGAACTTGAATTAATGAGATTTCGTTTGGGTGTTAGATTGAATGAATCAACGGTACATATACCATGCTACAAAGGACAACAACTGCAGTAATGATACTAGTATCAGTTCTGTATATGAAACGAGATGTAGTTGTGAAACACTGATGAACCTATCGCAGCTCATGGCCAAGGTTCAAGTTTATTAAAGGTAGGTCAAACTCTAAGATCAAGAGGTCAAATATGCAGGTACAAATAAAGGTCTTGTCACAAGTAGTACACGTGTAAAATATAAAAGCCCTAGCATCATCAAACTCCAAGGTTCAGAAGTAATGACTAAGGTTTTCAAAAGTTGGTCAAACTCAAGGTCAAGTAAAGAGGTAAAAAAAAAGTGGATAACCAAATAAAGGTTTTGCACAAAAATCCACATGTGAAATATGAAAGCCCTAGCATCATCCCATTTGTTTTACAAAAGTAAGTCAAACTCCAAGGTCAGTATTATGAGGTCAAAAATTGTGGTACTCAAAGAAAGGTCTTTACACAAGGAATACATGTGAACTTTGAAAGCCCTAGCACCAACCATATGAAAAGTTTTGGCCAAGGTTGAAGTTTTTAAAAAGTAGGTCAAACTCCAAGGTCAAGAGGTCAGAAATGGTGGTACTTACTACTCACCCTAGGAAATGTCTTGTCACAAGGAATTCACATGTGAAATATGAAAGCCCTACCACCAACAATTCAAAAGCTAAGCCAAGGTTAAAATTTGGCAAAAAGTTTTTCAAAAGTAGGAAAGCCCTGGAAACACCAACCTTATGAAAAGTGTTGGCCAAGGTTGAAGTTCTTTTAAAAGTAGGTCAAAAGGTCAGAAATGGTGGTACTTACCGAAAAAAGGCCTTGTCACAAGGAATTCATATGTGAAATGTGAAAGCCCTAGCACCAACCATTCAAAAGTTAAGGCTAAGGTTAAAGTTTGGTAAAAAGTTTTTCAAAAGTAGGTCAAACTCTAAGGTCAAGAGGTAAGAAAATGGCGGTGCCCATGCATGCATTCCCTTCTTTCATCATATTTTAGTATATGGGCAGAGCCACGAAACAATGTTACATTTTCTTTTTAAGTTGCAATACAAATACCTTGGTGTATTATTTAATTATGTCATGGACATTTAAAAAAGGGGGGGGGGGGGAGAATTGCATAGCAAATCATTTAAAAAGACTTTTTTTTTTTAATCTTGTATTTCTAATTAGCTTGATTAAACATTGTTACTTTTCAGAACGACGAAATCAGTCATGAAGGACAATGTGACCTTATGTGGCTTCACATTCTAGCCAGCATCTCCAAAGATAAAATATTTATTCCAAGTAATAAACTTTCGTGCTTTAAATGTCACAAATGCCACATTTAAAGAAGTGAATGGTTCATGGTAAATAAAACAGTATGCATTGCTTAACCTACTGGTATTTTGTAACCTGACAATGTTAATATAACCATATTCCTGTTTCGTGATGACGTGTGGCATATGAATATGCTTAAGGGGGAACGAAAATGCCGATGTCGTCAGGTTTACGTCAAGTAAGTATTTTTAGTCTAGAAAAGGTGACATGAGTATAAGAATAATTAAAACGTAACGTTATTTTTTTCCCCTTAATTATTGAAGATATGCGTCAATTGTGACAGATTTTGACATCTTTGCCCAAAAAGTTGCTTTAACCCTGAATAATACGAAACGTGAGACAAAAAGGCATCGGTTCTTCTCTTTTCCTGAAATGATATAAATCAAAGTTTAAAGAACTGAATAATCTAAGATAAAATCGTAAATACTTATCATATATGACATCAACTGTTAATCCTACATGGGATTGTCTAGAAGTCAGCAAAATATTGAATCTCCAGAATTAGTGTGTGTGTTTGTGTGTTTTGACATTGAACTGAGAAGGGGGGGTATAATTCTCTGACTGTGTCTCTGCCCCACAAGACGCATGGAATCATTCTAGAAGCAAGAAGAGGTGCAAATCCGATATTTTTAGGGTTTTGTAGGTTAGTCCAAAGCTTCTTTGCCATAATAAATTGAAGCCCTTTCAAATGAATTAGAAAATCATCCGTAGATTTAATGTTTTGTATCCCTAATTTAAAACATCCTTTACTCTCGAGAGATAGCGGCATTATAGCGGCATTATAACGGCATTATAGCGGCATTATAACGGCATTATAGCGGCATTATAATGGCATTATAACGGCATTATAGCGGCATTATAACGGCATTATAACGGCATTATAGCGGCATTATAGCAGCATTATAACGGCATTATAACGGCATTATAACGGCATTATAGCAGCATTATAACGGCATTATAGCGGCATTATAGCGGCATTATAACGGCATTATAGCGGCATTATAACGGCATTATAGCGGCATTATAACGG